GATTAAATTTTATAATGGGAATTAATAATCTTGTTAGATTTAGTAAAGTATTAGAGTTAATAATAATAATCACTTTTAAATTTAATTGTGAATTAATATTCATGCCTTTTAAAGAAATATATTTCTTTAAATAAAAATAGTTTTTATTATAACTATTTTCTCTCCCTTTCTCGCTATTTATTTTATGTAATAAAAAAGGAAAATAGCACTCGAATGGATTTGAACCATTATTACTAGACTTAGAAGATCTATACTTTTCCAATTAAGTTACAAGTGCTTATTATTTTAATCTCTTATAAAACCACGGGCTTTTAGTATGAAAAGATATTTAATTATTTTATTATAATTTTTTAAATAAATAATATTATCAATATAATAGTGTTATGTTCGTTTGTATTAAATTATAAATTAATATATATAATTTAATATATCTAAATAAATATAAAATATTAATATAGTATTATTTCATTATAAAGAAAATCATAATAAAAGCATGAGCAGTAACAATTACGTTATATAATTGATGATCACCTTGTAAATATTGTATTCCTCCTTGAGGGACCTGTTTGCATTATTAAAATAATGCTCTCTCTTAACAGTTAATAGACAAGATATATTTATATTTTTATATTTTAAAATTGTATTATTAGAATATTATTAAAAATGAATTAAATATTTTATAAAATAATCTTCTAATTATTATATAATAAAATAGTGATTTTCTTTTATGCCGGAGGCCGAATAATTATTTTTTTCGTTAGTCTTAATTATAATATTTCCTTCAAGAATAAATCGAATGAATGTAAAAAGTTTGAAAAACTTTTACTTTATTATTTTTGCCCTGAGGTTGAATCGAACAACCGTCAAAGGTTTTTCAAACCTCTACTTTAACCAATTAAGCTATCGGGGCAAATAATTTTTATGAATTAAGAAGAATCCAACTTACTAACTAATAATAACTTAAATTAAATATAATTATAATTATATTTATTCTTATTATCTTTATTATATTTATATATCATATAGTCTACAAAATAATTAGGAATAATTGAGAGGGAAAGAGGGGAGTTTATTCTTATTTAGTTTTAGTTCCTAAATCGAATAATGTATTTTCTATGATCCCTACTACTGGTAAGATTACTAAGAAGTAAGAGAAATAGAAAATAGTTGATACTTGTCCAATCTCAACTAATGGACTTTCTGGATGGTTTGCACCAATCCATCCAAGGATTAAGAAGTTAGCTACAAATAACCAGAAGAAGAATTTCATAATTGGTCTGAATTGCATTGATCTTATTCTAGAAGTATCCAAGAATGGAGTAACAAGTAAAATTAAAATAGCAGCAACCATACCAATTACACCTAATAATTTATGAGGTATAGATCGTAATATCGCATAGAACGGAAGTAAATAGAATTCCGGTACTATAGAGATTGGAGTAACTAAAGGATTAGCTGGTATGTAATTATCACTTTCTCCAAAGAAATTTGGATTAAAGAATACAAAATATGCAAATATGAAAAAGAAAACAAAAAGACCTACTAAATCTTTGAAGCTATAGTAAGGGTGAAATCTGATTCTATCTACATTTGAAGTAATTCCTAATGGATTATTTGATCCATGTTCGTGAAGTGCAATAAGATGCATTATTACTAATGCAGCTAAGATGAACGGTAATAAATAATGTAAACTAAAGAATCGGTTTAAAGTAGGATTACCTACAGAAAAACCTCCCCATAAGAATTCTACAAAATCGTTACCAATCCACGGTATTGCTGACATTAAGTTAGTAATTACAGTAGCTCCCCAAAAACTCATTTGACCATAAGGTAAAACATAACCTAAGAATCCTGTTATTATTAATAATAAAAAGATAATTACACCTATTGACCATAACATTACTCTTGGTGCTTTATACGATCCATAATATAATCCTTTAGCCATATGGATATAAATGAAAATAAAGAAGAATGCAGCTCCATTAGCATGAAGATATCTTAACATCCAACCATAATTAACATCTCGCATAATATGTTCTACAGAAATAAAAGCTAAATCTACATTAGGCGTGTAATGCATCGCTAATGTAACACCTGTAGCGATTTGTATTACTAAAACAACACCAAGAAGACTTCCATAATTCCATAAATATGAAATATTTGAAGGAGAAGGAGAGTCTATTACATAACTATTAACTAAACTTAAAAAAGGATGGGTTTTTAAAAGTTTCAAAATATTTAAATTATTTTTATATTCCTTAATCTAAAACTTATTATTAAATTCTAATAATAAACTATACTTTACTGAAACATAAAAGAATGAAAAAGGTATATTTCTTAACAGAAATATATTATTTTTGTTTGTTTTTTTAAGTTTTTATCTTATTTGTTTTTTTTTGTAAATAAAAACTTTATTATAAAATTGTGCAAAATAACAAAAATAAAATTGGTTTTTAATTCAAATATATTTTTAGCCATTTTATATAATCCATATAATTATTTTAGGCTTAATATTTAACCATATAATTACTTAAATGAATAATAATATAATTATTTTAATTAATTATAATTTAATTAATATATTTAAGTAATAGAAATAAACTTATTTGTTTATTAATTTAAGATTAAAATTTTATAGCTTAAATCAATCTTAGATATCTAAGGTTAATCCATATTAGCGACACATATCATCCCTTTGGAAAGATCTAATATTAACTCGCTCATCTGTTTTTACCCCTAAAGGGAAACAAGTGCTAAAAAATTTTTCAAAAAAATTAATAATATACAAATTCTGTATATTATATAATGTATTATTACCTTTATATTGGTAATAGAAAGAATAGGACAAGGAAGAGTCGAACTTCCATCATATCCGTTATGAGCAGAGAGCTTTACGTTAAGCTATTGTCCTATTCAAACATATAGTCTGGACTGGCCATTAACTATTAATATATTAAATATTATCAGTATTAATATATTAAATATTATCAGTATTAATATATTAAATATTTTCATTATAAATTAATTTTTTATTAAATATTTTTATAATATTTCGTAATTAACTTTAAAGGTTTGATTCTTCTCTATATTTGTTATTAATAAATAATTATAAATAATAGATTCTTTAAAAAAATTAACTATTTGTTTTAATAAACATATAAATAAATTAGAATTAAAAATATTTAATAGTTTAATTAATTCTCGTCTTATTATTAAACAGTTTTATAAATTCTTGTCTTATTATTTAATAAATTCTCGTCTTATTATTTAATAATTAATTCTTAAAAGCTTTAAGAAAAAGGGGGGGGAGTTTGTCTTAGTTGTAAAATGACGTGAATTAAGAAGAAATCCACTAATTATCTTTAATACTTGTAGTTAAAATCCATTGTTTTTTAAACAATTTACCATTTAAATATCTTTTAATCGTATGATCTGAACAATTAAAAAATTCACTAGCTTTTTTTAATGAAGTAAAATTATAAACTAACGTATTACTATCATTAGAATATACAAAAATAGGCGTACCTTTAGCAATACTCATCTTGATTTTTGTACTATCTGAATGATTTCTACCGTACATTGGATGTAATTCACCAAGTCTTGCTTTACTTATATTTAATTTATGTTCTTCAGATAATGGTACTCCTTTAAAGAATTTACTAATTTATCTCTATTCTCCTTTGAACGTATTAATCCTAAACAACTACCAGCTATTTTAAGGATGTTAAATTCAGGTTCAAGGGTATCTAAATAATATTGTTCCCGAGATAATAATTTATCTGTCTCACAATACTCAAGGATTACAAATATAAAATCTTGTAAATTATATTTATTTATTGCATTTTGAAGTAAAACATTAGATTGTAAACCATTTATATGTTTATTAAAACGAATTGATAATTTACTTGAAGAACCTATATATAATTTATTATTAGTTTTACAAAGAAACCCATAGATCCCAGATTTACCTTTTAATTCCATTTTAATTATTTTTTGAATTTCTGCTAAGTGTAAGTAACCTGTCGATAACTCGATGGTTGAAAAATATGATTGTAATCGTATCATTATTTTAATATTAATTTTTATTCCCAAAATATTATTAATCATCTATTAGAATTATTTTAATAAAATACTTATTTATTTGACACACTTTATGGTAAAATAAAAGATTAGAGGACTTAAACCTTTAAAGTTAATTACGAGATAATATAATTTATTATGCTCTTTTATAAATTCTCGTATTGTTGTTAATAATAAATTATTTTTAAAAATTTAAATAAAAAAAGGGGGGGGAGTTTGTCTTAGTTGTAAAATGACGAGAGTTAAGGAGAAGTAAAGTAGAGATAAACACTAATAATAATCTAGCATCGTCTAAATATAAGATCGCACCTGTTAATGTAAGAATAGATAAAATTATATATAAAGCTAAGTTCGGGATATATCCTGAATCTAATGATGCTATGTTTTTACTAGTATTAGAGAAAAGATTAGTTAAACCAGTAGGTCCTACTAATTCTAATGCTCCTCTATCTATTATTTTATGAGTTTGATATCCTAAATTTAATATTAAAGCTATTAAACGAGAATAAAGTAAATCAAAGAAGTATTTTTGATTTAAGAATGTATATAAAGTTCTACCTAGTTTAGATAATTTAATTTCAACTAAAATATTAGGTATAAATTCATAGAATAATAATGTACCAATAAATCCACAGATTGTTAAGATAGAAGGTAATAATTTAATAAATAACGGTATTGCAAATTCAGCATCTATTAAAATAATATGGTTAGGATGTGTAAATACTGCATTTCCAAAGAAATCAGAACCCATTCCTATAAACAGATCTTTACTTAAATAACCAAAAACTACAGATAATATAGCTAAAATCCCTAATGGTATTGCCATAAAGAAAGGAGCTTCATGTGTATTTTCATAGTTATTTCTAGGTCCATTAGGTATAGAGAAGAAAGTTAAATATAACAATCTAGTTGTATAAATAGAAGTAAATAGAGCTGCAAAAGTAGTCATCCAATAGGCAAAAGACCCGTGAAATGAATATTGTGAATAACCTGATAAGATTATTATCTCTTTAGAATAGAATCCTGATAAGAATGGGAAAGCAATATTACTTAAAGCAGCAATAAACATTACTACAAAAGTAAATGGTAATAATTTAGCTAAACCTCCCATTCGTCTCACGTCTTGTTCATCTGCCATTGCATGAATTACTGAACCTGCTGCTAAAAATAATAATGCTTTAAAGAAAGCATGATTAATAATATGATAAAAAGCTATATTATATTGACTTAATCCACAAACAGCTCCTAAATAACCTAATTGACTAGCTGTTGAATAAGCAATTATTCGTTTTAAATCATTTTGTACTAACCCTATCGAGGCAAAAACAAATGCTGATAATGATCCAAGACATGTGATTACTATTAATGCTGTACTACTATATTCTAATAGTGGTGAAGTTCTTATCATTAAGAAAATTCCAGCTGTTACCATTGTAGCACTATGAATTAAAGCTGAAACTGGTGTAGGACCCTCCATAGCTGTAGGTAACCAAGCATGAAGACCTAATTGAGCTGATTTAGCCATAACACCTATTAATATACATAAACTAATGAATGTTAAAATATCAGTATTAATATATGGAGCTAAAGAAAATATATTAGAGTAATCTAAATTTCCAAATACAAAAATAATTGCAAAAAGAGCAATAGACATTCCCCAATCACCTACTTTATTAGTAACTATAGCTTGTATTGCTGATTTAGTTGCAGCTATTCTTGTAAACCAAAAACTGATTAATAAATAAGAACATACACCTACACCTTCCCATCCTACAAATAATACTAATAAGTTATCTCCACATACTAATAATAACATACAAAAAGTAAAGG